TACTAGTTAGTACTAACTTACCTTACTTTTTGTTTGTTCGTTATTTATTTACTATTTAAGTTTTAATTAAGTAAAGTAGTAGTCGCTACTTACCTTCTCTCTCTCTCTCTCTCTCTTTCTCTCTCTCTCATCTTTACAAGATTTTTAAAGGCCCGTGAAATATGAAAAATCCATTAAAATTTACCCAACATATGCAGGGTATACTATAACTTATGTTTTTCACTTGAGATTTTGCTAAATTATGGTACATGGATGCTTTAAACCCTATTTGTTATACATTTTCAGAATTTCCATTAGCAAAATAAAATTTGTTATGCTTTGCTAATTGTGTAGTTATTTCACTTTGGTGTTTCCAAAATATATGATATAAAATATTACTTTCATTTTGAGACACAAGTGTGTAGATATATGATCTGAAGTGTTATTTTCAGCATGGCAGAATATGCTTGTAAACAAATGGAGTTTGTTTTCTTATTGATTTGTGCTTTAGAGTCTTTCAATTACGGTGAATAGCTAAGATCACACCATATGTGACAATTGAGGCAGTTTTTGGGCTGCTTGCTTTTAAGTTTTCAGGTTCGCATCAGAACAAGGCACACTTTAGCTCAAACCCATAGATTTGGTTCAACTCTCAAACATAATGCTTATTCAATGACTCTTTTTGTTGGACAAAGAAGAACACACAATCAAGCTATAGTTATAGTTTAAGTTAGTGGAGATCAATTCTATGGTGAACATGAGCTTTGTTGGTTATTTAACAATGTTAGGACTGTGATGTCAGGCTATCACCATACTGAAGATCACTAAGTGAGACCTATCTTTGGATCTGTGGTTACTTTTTTATGCCAAAGATGCCATAAGCTAAGAAACCAGAAAACCCAACTCAAAAATTGGTTTTAGCACCCACAAATTGGGCTTGCAAGAACAAAAGTTGGAGAACTAATATTCGACAAGGCTTATATACTTGTGTTTTAACATTTGTTGAGACTAAACTGAATAACAGATTGAAATTAATTATCCTTGGCCTCCACTAATCAGCTAGAAACCCACACAACCATTTGATTCAATGGACAACAAGGTATCAATATAAAGGAACATCTTAAGTTTTAGGCCCATGTTGCTCCCTCTAAATGAGATAATACGAGAGAAATAAATTTTTATAACCATTTCCTTAACCAAGAATATTGGTGTTGGTTGTACTATCCCTATTTCCCTACAATGTGGGAAGTGGATTTATTGTGATGCCTCTCATTTTAAACTCTTTAGCAAGAACAAAAAGAGATTGTATACTTTGTATTTTGGGGGAATAAATGTACAATTACGTGATGAGTATCTACCTGATTAAAGTCTCATAAAGGAATGTGTATGCTTGATATAACATTATAGAGAGAGAGAGAAAGAGGGAAGAGAAGTTTTTTCATAATTTCCATGAACTGTCCAATGACTCTCTCTCTCTCCCCAGTTATACTATATATGATTCTCCCTCAGTACTATGTTTTTATGTTTCCATAACTCAAGATTTTGTGATTGAGTTTTATCTTGCATGAAGCTTTGTTAAATTATTAACTGGTTCAATTGATAGCTTATAGTGATTTGATTATGGAAAATATATATGGTGATTTTTGTTGGGATTATGATTATAATAAGATGTATACAATGTTGTGTTATGGTTAGTGTTCGCTTGTTGCCACCATCATGTTCAATTCTTCTCAAGTCTACCTCAATGTTTATGATCCATGCTTCTCTCATCTTTTGGGTATGGTTAAACTTCCTACTTTTTCCCATATAGTTTTGTATTTTATTTTATTATACTTACATAGAAATCGAACATTTCATTTGAATAGTTATTTTTGCCTTCTATTTGTTAATCATTCTTCAATTTATAATCTTACAACTGATCAATATTATTACCTTATTCGTTTCCTTTCATCAATGCTTCCTCATTAGTAATATCATTTTTATTTTTCTATTTATAGAATATTGCTTAGCATAGATAAAGGCATCACTGAAACAAGATCCCTCACTGGCATATCAACGTCATTCACCTTTTCTAGCTCATCCATTTACCTATGTGTACTGCTATTCGTATCCACCTCTCTCTCTTTCTCTCTCTCTTATATATCTCCCTCTCTTTATACTAAACGCTTCACTAATGCCCCGTAACATATTCACTTCCTCTTATTATTTTATATTACACAACTTCCATAATAAAATATCTTCCTATCAAATTGTAGGTACTTCATTCATAACACGTTTGCAAACCACGTGCGGAGCACGTGCAATTGCCTAGTAGACTATAAAGTTGCACTAATTAGTTAAGAATGTGCCGAGCTGGGCTAGCCTAGCCCCTATCCGGTCCTAAACCCATGAGGCATGTCCTAACTGGGCCAAAGAGGTTCTGTCCCAAGCCCCGCCAAGCCCTATAGGGCTGGCTGGGCTTGGGGTCGGCAGGGCCAAATAAAATAAAAGAAAAAAAAAGCAAAGAAAGAGAAGGCTGGGCAGCACCACCATACCCATTGCCACCCCTATCCCAATACTTAATAAAAGACTAAAATGCCCCTATAATAGCGAAAGGCCTTGACCAAACTTGAGGCTCATAGATCCTTTGAACCCCTCGAAAAAAATTGTCCCTATGCAAACAAACCCCCTGGATCCCTTTGAGTATGAATTTTTTACGCAAACAAAAACTAAAATAACACCCTCAACACAGGTGTTTTCTTTTCACGTTTTTCTCAAAGCACCTCTCTCTCTCTCTCTCTCAAAATTCCATTTCTCTCTCTCTCTCTCTGTAATACCCAAAGCTGCAGAAGTTCCTCTCTCTATATCGTCTCTCTCTGCTCTCTCTCTCTCTAAAAAACCAACAATCAGATCTGAAGCCTTATTTCCCTATTCAGCCCCATCCCACCGATCTAAAAAACCCACAGATCTCTATATCTCTCTCTACCTCGTCTCTCTCTTTTCCCTCTTCCTTCCTGCGCGACCTTCCTCTCTCTTCTTCTCTCATTCATCTTCTTCCTCATTGCTCTCAAAATCAAAGGTATCTTCCTCATTGCTCCCAAAATAAAAAACAACGGCAGAGGATCTAAGGTCAAAAGCGGCTCAAAAACCCCAAATCAGGAGGAATCTCTAAAACCCAATATTTCCATCAAGAATCTGTTCAAAAACCCCAAATCAAGTATGCAATTTACGTTTATTTTTTTTTACTTTATTTTTTTATGTTTTTTTTTCCAGCATCCTTGTATGTGTTGATTAATAGTAATTTTTGTTTTGGTGTTGGTTTGCTTTTTCTTACAGTGCCAAGATTTGCGCATGAGGTAAGATTTACACTTGAATGTTTTTAAATCAAGTTCTGAGTTCTCAACTAGTTTTCACGGTTACCATTATTGATCATAAATTTGAATTTTTATGGCTGATTACTTGCTCGACTAGAAGATTGAGCATCATTCTGCTATTTCAATTGCTATCAAAGACACTAGTATTACAACTCATGAAGAAATGGAGAATATGGATATCTTTCATGTGGACCCCTGCTAAAAAAAGTGTGAGGATCATCTGTTTTATCGATGGAGGAGATATACAAAGCATTAAATCCCACTTAAAGTATTTATTGGTTTTTTAATCTTTATTTTTTTAGAGACAAATTCGACAAATTTTTCTGTTAATAAGTCTAGTTCCATTGAAATTTTTAGAGTTTTTTTTTTTTCTGTAATTTAACTGTTTTGGGAATAGGGGGTATCGTAATGGCTAGTTTGTTATTTATTTTGCTTCAATAATTCATTTACTTCATAGTGCTTCTGTTTAACTTCACATCTTGATTGGTTCAGGTTTCAATTTCTTTTTTATTGCATACAATCCTTTATGATTTGCCTCATATAGTGCCTGTGATATATGTTGTGTTTAACTATGAATAGCTGTATAACACCACCAATGCTTAAATTAGAGTATTATTCTGTAGATTGATGTAATAGTGTTGAACCTCATCATCTTTTATGCAGTAGTGAACATGGATGAAAAAATGTTATTGTGTATATATGGAGGTGAACTTTGCAATAACTTTGATGTTATTATGGAGCATGTTGGGGGCGATTCATGCACTTTTTCAGTTCATCGACAAACGAAATTGAATGAAGTAAAGGAAGATGTAGCAAATCAATTCTCCATAGAGTCATCTAGAGTGTCACTTAAGTACATCTTCCCGAGTAACAAGAGACACCTCGTTACCTTATTTAATGATCGTGATATCGAAAGGATGTTATTTGCACGTGATGGTTGCAATGAGTTAGAAATCTGTCTTCGATGGATGTGAACGCAGGAGTGGTGTTTCTCTGGTCAATGGTAACACAAGGTATGCTGACCTATAAATTTGATCTAATCAACCTTTGTTTTATATAGAAGATATGGATAACATATGAATTTGGAAATCTATAGATGTTGTCTAATCACCCTATTGTTCATTCCGATGTGTTAGGGACGATGATTTTGTTGGGTCCTGCCCTTTTCTTCAAATGTTGAGGAAGGTAACAATGAACATAATAATATGCCTCTTTTGCTCTACACATGGGAGAATTTATTAACTGATATTGGTCAAGAATTCCCCAATATATCTGAATTTCATGATGTTTGTAAGTATGCAATGGAGCATCACTTTGAGTATGTTTTCATAAAAAATGAGAACTACCAGGTGAGGGCAAAATGTAAGAATGATAATTGCAATTGGGAGTTTTATGCTAGTAAAGTTGGGCATTTGATGATGTTCAAAATTAGGACATGAAGGAGATAACATTCATTTGTGGGGCTAACATCAATGTCCATAAGAGAGCCTCAAAACAACTTATTGCTAACCTTGTGAAAAGCAAGTTGGATGACACCCCACGGTACAAGCCCAGAGAGATGATAAAGGACATAGCTCGAGATTATGGGATAGAGCGTCCATATCTTAAGGCATGGCGGGGGAAAGAGATAGCAATAACAGAGTTTCGTGGTACTGAAGAAGATGCTTATAATCGGCTCCCAGCATACCTCAATCACCTATTAAAGACAAATCCAGGAAGTCATGTGGCAATGCAAAAAAGGTCAGACAATAAATTTCGTCGAGTTTTCATATCACTTATTGCTTCAACGTATGGCTTTAAAAATGGGAACCGTCCAATTATCTTCCTTGATGGAACACATTTGAAAGCTCGATGTCATGGTACGTTGCTTGCCGCTATATCTATAGACTCCGAGGATCAGATGTTTCCACTTGCATATTCTATCGTTGATGCAAAGGATTATGACAATTTGTTTTGGTTTCTAGAAAACTTGAATAGTGGTATTGGGATGGATCGACCAATCATATTTATTTCCGATAGACAGATTGGGTTAGGCGACAATGGATCAAATATGTTTTGAAATTCCCATCATGCTTTTTGTGAGTGCCACATGACAGAAAATCTTAGGAAGAACATGAAACATATTCGCAATGATGTTAAAAAGGCCATTATATCTGCTTTCCAAGGTGCCACACGTTCATTTCGATGAGAGGAGTTCAACCTAAGGATAGTAGAAATTCAAAACTATTCTCAAGAAGCTTTTACGTGAGTAGCTATATCAACTCCAGAGCGCTGAGCAACTTTAATATTCAGGGGAAAGTGGTATGGACAAGTTACAACCAATGTCGCAGAATGTAAGGACTGAGATTTTTCTGGCTTGAGGAGGTGCACGACAGTAAGAGGAGTGCACATGCAGCAGCAAGAAGAGAATGCTGTCGTGCGCAACAGGGAGTTCAAGCTGCCGTGCGTGAAAGGGAAGCCACCGTGCATGCAAGGGATGCCGCCATGCGTGACAGGGAGTTCACACCGCCTTGCATGACTTGGACAGGGAGGAAGCAGCCATGCGTGTAAGGGAGCAAGCCGCCATGCGTGCAAGGCGAGAGGCTGCCATGCGTGCAAGGCGAGAGGCCACCATGTGTGCGAGGAGAGAAGAGATAACGTGCGTGGCAGGGAGAAGAAGAGGGAACACGCGTGGCAGTAAGAAGAACGCCGCTGTGCGTGATGGTCTCAGCCGCAGTGCGCAACACTGTCGAGCCCATGCATGCCCCTTGGATGCCATTTGTCTATTGCATGTTGCATTGCATGGCATTTGTCGTTCTGCGTGATAGTGTGAGTGTCACTAGGCAAATTTGTGCTGCCACTTCGCCCTCTGGGTGTACTTAAACGCCTTCTCTCCTCTCCCAAGCCTTGGTTCTTCCTCTCACTCTTGAGAACCCCTTTCTCAACACTTGGAGTTGCCACCCCTTAGAGCTAATGTTGAAGAGCTTGGGACTCGACTGTGTAGGGTATTTTGGGACATATTTGAGCACGAGTAAGTGGATTTAACACTCATATTTCCATAGCTTTGATTAAAGAAAGAAAATTAAGCAAAGTATAAGTGTGATTTTGATAGGAATATGGCTGCATGCTAGTGAAATTGTGTTGTTTGTGCACTGTTATTACAGAATTGTGGTCCTCCTTAGCATGATGAATTTAGTACTGAAAATCATTCAGTTGGTCATGAAATTATGTGGAGGAGTACCCCTGTATGTCTAAATTAAGATGAAAAAGGTTTTGTGTTAGTATCCATTTTAGTTTGGAAGTTATTGATTATTCTATATGGTGTGCCAACTCTTTGCTGTGAATTTCCAGGGACCCTGCATGCTTTTGTAATAAACTTTTGACTGACCAAATAATGTCCAAATTACTTCAAACCACTTTTAAGTGAAATATGGATGTGTCTACTTCAAATTTAGTTCAAAACTATGTCAAAATTTCTCAAAATTTGGAAGTTATAGCAGTTTCCAAGACTGATACTTATTTTGTACTGAACTTTTGACTGATCAAATGGTGTCGAAATGACTTAAAATGACTTTTAAATGAAAAATGGATTTTCTACTTCAAATTTGGTTTTGAAATCATGTCGAAATTCCTCATAATTTGGAAGTTATGCCTCTGTTTGTATAGATATATCACTGTTATCAGTTGTGGCAGTTTCCAGGATTGTTGCTCATATTGTATTGAACCTTTGACTGACAAAATTATGTCCAAATGAATTAAAAATATTTTTAAATGAAATATGGATGTCTACTTAAAATTTGGTTTTGAAATCATGTCGAAATTCCTCATAATTTGGAAGTTATGCTTCTGTTCATATGGACATGTCATTGTTATCAGTTGTAGCAGTTTCCATGATTGTTGCTCATATTTTACTGAACGTTTAGCTATACAAATTGTGTTTAAATGACTTAAAATCACTTTTAAATGAAATATTATGTGTCTACTTTAAATTTGGTTTTGAAACCATGTCGAAATTTTTCATAATTTGGAAGTTGTGCCTCTGTTTCTATAGACATGTCATTGTTATCAGTTGTAGCAGTTTCCAGGACAGTAGCTCATATTGTACTGAACGTTTGACTCAAAAAATGGTGTCCAAATGACTTCAAACCACTTTTAAAAGAAATATAGGTATGTCTATTTCAAGTTTAGTTTTGGATCCATGTTGAAATTCTTGATAATGTGAGAATTATGCCCCTATTTGCAGGCATATGTCACTGTTGTGAGTTGCAGTGGAATTTTCAGAATTTTATATATTTTATGAAAGACTGTTCACTAACCAATATGTATCTGATCAAGGTTAAAGCACTTCTAAATGAAAAGTAGATGAGTTATTTTCAAATTGGGTTTTGACACCATGACTAAAATCCCCATGAAATGGAAGTTAGGCCTAATTTTCTGAGGCCTTCATATTGAAAATCTTGTTATGTTATGAATTATTGGATGTGCATGCTTATAATATAGTGAATGCTCATGAACTCTTGAAAAATTATAATGATATATGCTTGGGTATGAGTGAGTGCTTATGAGTATGCACGTGCATAGTTGTGATATGATAGGATAAGACTATGATGTGAATCACTATGCAATGGGACATCCATTAGTAGTGGGGATTGGATATGATAAGATAGAGATATGAAACACTACGCAATGGGACATCCATTTGTAGTATGACATGAGATTTTGAAATTACTGAATAAGACACTATGCAACTACGTAACGGGTTATCTGTTGGTAGTGTAATATGTTCTGATATAATAAGAAAGTTATGCCGGCAGTTAGGATCTTCCCCTGAATTCCAATGATAGGACGGGAGTTAGGATGTGAAGTCGAATGATTGGGAGGGTCGTGCCCCCCAAATCTTTATGGGCACTATGCATTGGGTCACCCATTTGTAGTGTAACGCTCTCTTGCCGGAAAGGCATGAGGAGAAGGTCGTGTCTTGCAAGGCCATAGGCTATCAAAAGGCCCAAAGCGTGTTGGGGATTGTGTGCATGAAGACATTACAAAATGGGTCATCCATTTGTCATTGTCTTCCCTCTTGAGTCTGGGTAGAAGTCCTAAGTAATAGGATTGACTTAACTTCTAATTTGGGAGTAGGTGCATAGGACTGAATGTATGCACTATGTGTCTGCCTGTATGCGCTGTGTGTCTGTTTGTATGCACTACATGTCTGCCTGTATGCTCTATGTGTTTCGCCTAAATTTCTAATATGTTGTTTTGATGAAAAGATGGGGTAAATGTTAGTTCATGTGATGTGTGATTTCCTGATATCTACTTTACACTTCTTCCACCACTACGACAGAATTGTGATACATGACTCCATGCTGTGACACCTGCTTGAATTTTGGACAATGTTTATAAATGTCATTGTTGACGTCAGAATACATGGTGTTGATCTGCTTACCGGGCTTTATAGCTCACCCCTTTGATTTTCTCGATGTAGAGCGATAACCTACAATTTTTTAGAGCAAATGGCTGGGCACTCGGGACTGGCAGTTAAAGTTCTGAGCTTGGAAAGAAAAGCTTTATCTTGACTGTCAGTGGCTATTGGTGGCGGTCATATGTAGGAAAGATACGTGTTTTCAAATGGAGTCCAAATGTTTTCAAACTGCATTTGTAGGAAAGATACGTGTTTTCATTCGAACTTTGGTTTTGAAACCATCTTAAATTGCTTGATGGATTGAAAGTTATAATTCTGCTAAGTGAGACATTCACTGTCACAAATGTGCAGCAGATTTCAGATAATATACTTCCATTGTACAAAGCTTTTGATTAGTGAAACAGGGTCCAAACGCTTTCAAATCACCCCCATTTGAAAGATATACGTGTCTATTACAATTTTGGTTTTGGAACCATCCCCAAATTTTTGAATAGAACAAAAGTTATGTCCCTTCCTATGACAGTATGAAACTGTGGGGAATTGCAGAAAATTTAGAACTGTAGTCCTTTTCACACTACACTTTTGATTGATCAAATAATGATTGAATAGATGCAAATCGCTATCAATTAATTGATATAAAGGTCTATTTCAAGTTAATATTGAGATTTAATTGGGATCTCTTGTGAGTCGGATATCATGCCTCTGTTAGTATATGTACACCCCTGATGAAATGAATAGTATATCCCCAAATTATGCATGAATTATACAAGTGGTATAATGAATAATCAGAACATGGGAAATGAAATCAACTGTCTTGAAATACTATATATGCATGCCCATGATATTGTGATTAATTTTGAACAGCCTACACAGGAACATTAATATATATGTGAAATTATTGTTTGATTTTGCATATACACTGTGATATTGATACCGCAATGGGATACCCATTGGTAGTGGTTACTGTTATACTGTTTGATACTGATACTGTGAGCCACTATGATATTGACCACTATGTATTGAGACACCCATTAGTAGTGGGTGTTGTTATCCTGTTTGATATTATGATACTGACCGCTACGCAATGGGACACCCATTGGTAGTGGGTATTGTTATACTATTTGATACTGTGATACTGATACTGTGAGCCACTATGATATTGACCACTACGCAATGGGACACCCATTGGTAGTGGATACTGTTATACTATTTGATAATGTGATACTGATACTGTGAGCCACTGTGATATTGATCACTACGCAATGGGACACCCATTGGTAGTGGGTACTGTTGTACTGTTTGATACTGTGATACTGATACTGTCATCTACTAAGATACTGACCACTATGCAATGGGACACCCATTGGTAGTGGGTAATGTTATACTATTTTAACACTGTGATACTGCTATACTGTGATATATTGTGACACTAACCACTATGCAATAGGATACCCATTGATAGTTGGATATTGTTATGTCGGCAATCACTAATTGTACCTTGACCCCAATGATAGGACTGGGGGGTTAGGCAGTGAAACTGAATAACAGGGTGCGTCGTGCCCGCTTGGATCTTTATGGGAACTATGCATTGGGTCACCCAATGGTAGTGTAACGCTCTTTCGCCGGAAGGGCTAATGAGAGGGCCATGACTCGTAAGGCCA